CTTTATCAGACAACATTGAAATCCTGACGGCAATACAGTTCAAAGATGAGAAAGTCTCGTGGCAGTATTACATGATTATTAAAAGGAGACAACGATAACGAGTATAAGTTTTATTTGAAATAAAATCCAGTAGTATCAACGAATTTTATGTATTTGCCAATTTGGATATTTCATTCTTATTATTTATACCTGTTACAAATAATGTTACGTATCGGTGTTCTGTGATGTTTCTTAGGACAACTCGGGAAGGGAAACCATAATACTCGCACTAACTCATTATCCTAACTTCCCCTCCTGCCAAAAGACAAACTTAGCTTCATCGGCAGCGTTACCACATGCGCCATCATACATCATGCACCGCGATACATCACGAGAGGCACGTAGAGGGAGGGAGAAACTGACGGTGGGAAATGGGAGAGAGAGAGAGAACGGAAGAGAGAGAGAGAGAAGGATACAGGGGAGAGAGTGATAAAGAGAGACAGGGGGGGGAAATGGAGGAGATGATGTGTTGACGAGAAGGGGAAGGAGGAAAAGAGGGAAGGATAGAAAGGAGAGCCAAAAGTAGAAAATGAGGGAGAAAGAGAAGGGAGGGTGAGGGAGCAGGAGGGAGGAGGAAGTGGAAGGGGGTGGGGGAGAGATGGAAGGAGATCGAGAGAGAAAGACAGAAAGAGACAGAGAGAGAGGGGGAGAAAGAAAGAAAGATAAAACACAAAAATTAGTACTGAGGAGCCTTGATATTGAAAAAGAGAAATAATGTGTTTCCTACAAGAAGTAAATTACTTCCTGTAACACGCTGTGTAGCAAGAATGAAACGTTTTGTGGGTTCTTGATACCGAAAAATTGGCAAATGGCGAAACGTATGTCTGTCCATTTGTGGTCAATGCCTTAGCGCCTAAACCTAGCGTTTTCTTCGAAACTGGTATCACCCAAACGATTGGCTGGACTCTAGGATCTACGAACCCGAAACGGATATTTTCAATTTTTGGGTTTATATGACATCTCAACAATTTTCAAAAGTTTCTGAAATATGGTTCCGACTGTTTGGTTTCGACTTTTTCCAAATTCCGTCTTTCTTTTCTCGAATAGAACAAGCTTAAAAATAGTTCAGATCACATTTTTGTTGCACTATCAGAATTTTCGGAAATTGCGAAAGGTAAATAATGTACGGCATTTTCCTTCCTTCAAGAACAATATTGCAGATGGAGATGTTTCTCTTGAAATCTATTCTTCAAAGATAGATGTTTCAATAACAACATGTACAATTTTTTTTGAAAATATGAGTCGTTGTCGCTTAACTTTGCGTAAAATATAAGGATTTTTTTTTGTAATCACAAAACCCGGCTCCTCCAATTATTTTATCTCGAGCAGAGCAACGTACGATTATAAAAAATGGCGTAGGTGTCATTTTCATTCAACTTTATGAATTTTCGAAAGTCACAAATAATGCAAGAAAATATGTGCACTTGTTGTGCCAGTTCTTTCGTATTCCAGGCGTTGGCGCCACTGAACGTGTCGCGCTAGCACATCCCTTGCTCTGACAGCGCAGCGCGAGTGCCTTCTGACTGTACCAGAGAGAATTTAGTATGCCGAGTCGCTTCCCCGAAGTGTCGTCTCACCCACCTCCGCATGCTGCCCTGCCTACGCAGTCAGAACGTGAACGGTGGATGGAGTGCTTCACGGGGGGAGAAAAGAAGATGTGGGCGAGAGGCGACGTGTTATGCAATGTTTATTTATTTTATTTATTAAACTTCAGTCAACATTTACAACTGGGCATGACGTACTGCGGGGAGATGTGCAATAATGTTGAAGCATGAAAAAAATCACGGCGAGCCGCGTAAATTTAACTCCAAGTAAAAAGAATAAGACTACTGCGAACTTGTAGGTGAATCTCAGCAATATGGACGATTAACGTACTAGTAAATAGCATCCCCAGAAACTTCTGAAAGAGTTAAAGCCGAGAGCAACAGTATTCAGAGAAAAAGTAAACCAACATACAAGCCGTGAAACTGAATAAAAGACAACTAACATCTCATGCGTCTTTTTCTGAGGAAAATCGGGTTCAGTACTGTAAGCAGGGACCACAAGAGTAATTCAACTCTTCATTCCAACCTGGTTCCAATTATTCCGAAGGGTCTGCGAAAGGGAAGTGAATAGCACATTTAATTCTACATAATAGTCATTAGAGTTATCGAAGGTCCTCAAAATAACATGTCTTTACGTTAAAGGACATTTGTACGTCTAAAGTGAGGAAACAAAGATAAATACCAAGCGAGTAACTGATTTTATTGTAATGGTAGACCGCGCAATATGAATGCTTATCGTGTACAGAAATAATTAGTTATGCAGAATGAATGAGCTTGAACTAATATGACTAGCATAGCTGCCTAAAGATAAAATGTTTTTTGGTAAAATTTTATGTACGATTCGGTTAATTCCGAGCATTTTTCACTTAGGTGCCGTTACTGAACACCAATACCGTCAAAAAGAGGAAATGTGAAGTGCTCAATTCATTACAACTAATGGACAGAATGGCACAGGCTTTTTCGCACTACTTACCCTTCTAATCTCCTTAGTCCAGGCTAGCTTTTCGTTATTTCCCCGTCCCAGTTCCACCTATCGGCGCCTAAAGGACATTTTTTTCACGATTTACCAATATTTCGATTCCCTAAATATTGAAATACGAGGAATAAAAGTAATTCAGAAACATGGTCATGTAGGCACATTTTCATAGAAAATTTGGAACCGTCCTTCAAAAAAAATTGTTGACGCGATTCTGAAAGTGAGCAATTGTGAGCTCAGTTTCACCGAAAAAATCTGAGATCTTGGTGTGACTTCATAAGCAATCATTCGAAGCACTAGTAACTCTAAAACAAATGTGTAAAGCAAGTCGCAATGTAATTACTTACCGAGAGAGAGGGGAAAGAGAGAGAGAAGAAAGAGAAGAGAGGAGGAAAAGAGGAAGAAGAGAGAGAGGGAGAAAAGAGGAAAAGAAGAGAGAGAAGGAAAAAGAGGAGAAGAGGAGAAGGGAGAGGGAGAAAGAGGAAAATAGAGAGAGGAAAAGAGGAAAAGAGAGGGGGGAGAAAAGAGGAGAAAGAGAGAGAGGACAAGAGGAAAAAGAGAGAGAAGGGAAAGACAGGAAAAGAGAGAGAGAAAGAGGAAAAGAGAAGAGAGGAGAGAAAGAGAGGAGAAAGAGGAGAGTAGAGGAAAGAGGAAAAGAGAGAGAGGAAAGAGGAAAAGAGAGAGAGGAAAGAGGAAAAGAGAGAGTGAATGTCATGTTATTCAGTGCATTTTGCACAATCCAACGAAAAAACCGCGTATCATACGCAAGGCGCGAGAGATTTTTTGTATTCCATTAATTCCATACCGTCTTATCGATCCTAATTTTCATAACTTTTTCAAGAACAGAGGCCCCGTCTCACCATCAGCGGGGTGCGCAACGGCCGACTTCTGGCTGCTCGCTGGAGCGCAACATGAACCACTTCCCCTCGAGCACGACTCGGGCCGCGACATCGTAATGTTCTCGCCGTCATCCATCTGCGGCGCAATGTAAACATCGATCCCCACGGCGAGCGGCGCCGCCTGTATGTTCGTACGCGAAAGGTCACCGGCGGCGCACTCCCCTCGGCTCGCAGTTTGTCCGTGCGTGGGACGCGGAGCGACGCAATTCTTAACGCAAGCCGAAGTAAATCCCTGCCCCGCGAGGTTTTTTCCCCCCCGTTGAGTGTGTTCTGATGGATTTTCGGGTTCCCAAGTCCCTTCTAAATGAATAGCAGCGCCATATACTACGGACCACAAGTGGACACATCTCAACATCCCTTTCCAATCCTAAGAGATAATGATTACGGCACCTGAAGCACTCTTAACCTGCATGAAAATTGTTTTTCTCTGCCTTCAATTTTGCTGACTGGGATACGCGTGTAATACATTCAAGAATGTATTAAATTAAAATAAATGGTATGATGCCCATTTCGGCATTCAATACAAAATTAGCAAATTCTTTTGGCAATTTATGTGCTGTGTACATCATAGGGCATCGTTCATAACATTCTAAGAGAAACGTCACTCTATTACTTGCACCGAATAACCCGCGTGATATCAATATGTCATGAATGTCACGCAAAGGATACAACTGAATAAGGGGGGAAAACTGGCGCCAAATCCAATTGATAATCGCGATACTAGGTTCAGAGAGAATAAACAAGTCGTAGGTTCCCAAAAAATGAGCCTCCTAAGGCTATCTGCAAACGTGTTTTTCATGTTTTAAGACGCGTCGCGGCGATAAGCCTCAACCTGTCAACAGCGCAGCTCCTTCAGGAATCTTAATATTTGCAGATTTACACACGCACACGCACGCGCGCGCACGCACGCACACACACACATGTGGGGGGGGGGGGAATTCAGACAGTACTCCAACGTTATGATGTCTGATGTCGAAAATCAATTTCAAGTTTGTTTGTTTTTTATTTGAATTTGACCTCAAAATTGGTTCGAAAAATACCTTCGTATTCAAGTATTTTCCTCCGTAAATCCTATTTCTTTTAAGTCTAATACAAGCAATAGAAACTGAGAAAAATTAAAACATTGAGATATAGAAAGGGAAAGACAAAGAGAAAAGGAGAGAAACAGAAATGGAGAGAGAAAAGAGAAACAGAAAGGAGAGAAAGCGGAGAAAGGGGGAGAAGAAAAGAGAAAGGGAGAGGAAGAGAAGGGGTGAGGAAGAGATGAAGACAAGGGGCGAGGAAGAGGGGGAGAGGAAGAGAGAGAGGGGGGAGAGGAAGAGAGAGAGTGGGAGAGGAAGAGAGAGAGTGGGAGAGGAAGCGAGAGAGTGGGAGAGGAAGCGAGAAGGGGAGAGGAAGCGAGAAGGGGAGAGAAAGAGAGAAGGGGAGAGAAAGAGAGAAGGGGAGAGGAAGAGAGAAGGGGAGAGGAAGAGAGAAGGGGAGAGGAAGAGGGAGAAAGTGAGGGGGAGAGAAAGAGAAGCGTAGACGTGTGGGCGTACGCACCTCGTGGATGTGCGGCAGCGGGTAGGCGCAGATGCCGCGCTCCTGCGCGCGCCGGGTGAGCGTGAAGCGCGTGCGGTTGGCCAGGCCCTGGCCGAAGAGGCGCAGGCGCACGTCCGTGCCGGCCAGCAGCGCCACCACGCCGTCCGCGCCCAGCACGGGCTCGCGCGCCGCCCACTCCACGCGCAGACCGGTCACGCGCAGCGGCACGCCCACCGCCACCTCCGTCACGCCGCCCACGCCGCCACGCGGCCGGGGCGCGGCCGGAGGCGGAGGCCGCCTCACCCGGCGGTCGGGCGCGGGCGCGGACGCAGATCAGCGCAGATGCAGCCGCAGCGCGGCCAGCCGCCGGCAGGCAGACGCTGGCGCAAGCCGCGGCCGTCGAGGCTCCGACGACGGCGGCTCCGCGGCGGGCCGCCGCCCGCCGACGGCGCACCTGCGCCGCAACACACAGTCAACATCTGACGTAAACGGTACTACATGCACAGGGCGGCTATTTTAGGTGGAAAACAGACGAACGAATTCTCTCTCAGACAATTTTGTTTTTTCTACGGCTAGCTTGGCTTCTCGGCATCAATTAACGTCACTGGCAGCGGCTCTGACCGGGAGGAACGACGTGAGGCAGGATTTTCGACACTGGCTAACAAACCTTAGGTCGAAAGCAGTTGTTATCTGAGGAAATTATAGCGTCGGCTGCCTCATGGGTAGGTTTCCGTGGTTCCTAATTACTACCAAGACGATGTCGGAGCAGGTATCGTAACAAACAAGCATTGGTAAAGTGCAAGCACTGATGGCTCATCAGTTTGTGAGCGTTCATTTCCCCACTTGGACGCAATACCTAAACGGGGGAGGCATGTGATGAGCAATACGTTAGTACATGAATTTCCCATAGTCTTTCACATTGGGTAGGTATTTGCGTCTGTAGAGGCCGTTAAATTACTCCCTATTATTTTGTCGTCGTGCAAATAATAATGTTCCATTAATGTATTTATATAATATAATAATTATACTACTAAATATTATTTACTTACAAAATTTTAAATTAAATTTAGATTATTGCATGGTTAATTTAAAACGTGGTGAAAAGTACGCAACGCAGGCTTTGCCAAACTCTGGCTATTTTGGATTACGGTTATACATAGTTTTGGAATGACTTAATTCACACGCACACTAGGTCTTCTGCTTTTTGACCGAATTTTTTTGTAGAATTCTCAACAATATTCTTTTATACTTGTAGGGGCGGTATCGGAACATGAAAGACACTAGTGAAAATTGTTTCTAATTTCAATGCAGCACAGAACTTGGGCAATCTTGAAACATTAAGTCGACGATCACTAGCTGGTGAGAATGGTTTCGCACTACAGCTGTCTTTCGGCAAGTTTCCAGATAGTCTTGTCAACAACAAAAATTCGTCTACATGGTTCTGAACCGCTTAGATGAGACGGGCTAAAGCCTACGTCAAACAACGCTAGCCAAAGGTTCTGTTCACAGCCAAAGGCAATAATTCATTAACACACAGCGTCGACGCATTCACCTCGAAAGGGCCCAGATCTGGGGTCAATACGCGAGCTCTCCAGCCAAACACAAAAATGCAAAAATATTACGAGACGTCCTCTACATGCGAGTTGGATCTGGCGACTTTTCCTAGAACAGGGGGCCATATAAATTGGACTTTCGCGAGTGTTCGTGCAAAGATCCTCCGATGTAATATAAATAATGGACAGCATCCCAGCCATAACAACCTTATCAAAAAAGTCACAAAGGAGGATTTATCAGTGCATAATCATACCGTAAAAAAAGCAGTAAAAAGAAACAGACATCAAGAACTGCATCACTGTGGAAAGATTAGATATATTATCATTTTAAAGAAATTATAAAGTTGTAAAATTGGCGGTCCTAATGGGTGACTCGGGCCTGGTGGGGTATACTGAGGCTCATAGGTTATCAACCAATTCAAATACCCGGAAAAGCTTCTGTTAATGGGGAGCCTTGTAGTAAGGCTGAGTCCACAAGGTTCGCTTCCAAACCTTCTTGGTGGCCCTGGATTCTCTGCGGGGTGAGAATGACTACAGAGGGTAACGAAAAGGGTGGGGACGAAAGGCGAGTTTTCCGGGCGCTTAAACGGAACCCGTGAGCTAAGGGAAGGAAACCCTGAACGAAAACGCTAAAGGGGGGAGGGGGGCTCCATAGGTGTGGTGAAACGCAACCTTCGCTAAGGGATGACAGACCCTGAAAAAATCTACTCAGGATTAAGCCATGGGGGTTGGACGCAAGGCTAACTCCCGGCTCCTAAAAAAAAAAGCCTTTTAGTTCAAAGCGGATTTAAATATGCTCGACCGGACCCAATTAAATTACGACCAAAGGCTACGAAAACGGACAATCGAAAATTGGCCATGGAAATATACAAGGCCTACGAACAAAGCAGAGGGAGGTCATCTCAGAAATTGAAAAAAAAAAAAATGTAACAATTTTCCAACTGCTCATTGTAAGGGTGAACGCTATGGTTTTCGTGCCTTAACAACCAGATATAGGGTAACGCCCAGTAAGGCCACTGCTTCCGTAGGGGCCCCTTCTAGCAAAAAAGTTGAAAAAAAGGAATTAGAGGCTTCGCGCTTGTTTCAACCTCGCGGAATTTGAAGCTTACGTCTTCTAATGGTGCGGGTTTGAGCAAACATTATTTGTTTTCCATTATTGTATTTTTAAAAAATAAACTGAAAACCTCTTATTAATATCGGCATTTCTATAATATAAAATGAAGATGCATTTTTTTTGACTTTTTGGTCTGCATTTGGGAGGTCATCGATTGCTCATTGTCAAGTCGAGTCCTTGGCCGCTACCAAATTTTTGCTATTTTGAATTGGCCACTAATGATACAAAATCGGGGTTAGGGCAAAAAATTAATAATACTAGAACAAATTAAAATTTTGGCAAGGTGTCTATTCAGAAAGAGGTGTTTAATCGTCCAATAAGTTTCACATAACGAATTTAACAGCCCACGAATTTGGAAAAAACTACGAAAAAGTTAACTGTGACCACTACTGGCTTTAGTGGCGGGAAAAATTGTCAACAGTTAATCATTTGCAAACACTTCCATTCTCCTACAACCATAAATTGGTCCCGGCAATAGAATTTAAGGAAAGGGGGGAAAATGTTCTCTCCTTATTCTCCGCAGTAACGGAAGACACCTGTGAATTCTGTGAACACCTGTGAATGTGGCATCTGCAGCGTCGCTACAGGAAACGGCTTCCCGACGCTCAGCTTCCGGACTTGTCAGGCCACTTCATGGAGCTAGACCGAACGCGCGAGTCCCTAAAGGTACGCCACAAGAGGGCGAATTTTCATTACACTTATTGCCGAATTATAGGATCTTATAGATATCTCATCGTGAATTCTATTCGTTTAAATGAAAATACAAATAAAAAATCATTACAAAATCAAGCCCTACACCGAAAATAATTATATACACGCTGCAAACCTACACGCTCGTTAAATATCTTCAAATAAATAACATTATATCTATTATTTTTGGATACTGCAAACCCAAGCTAACCTCTATGTATTTTATAAAAATCAATATTCGTTTGTTTGTTCGTATTTTCTGCGCTGCCGTGCCCTTCAATAGATTGCGATAAAACGGTGTCAATTCATTGCTTGCACATCTGCGAAGAATATAGGCACAGTGCAATGGGAATGTGTGTATACCTGGCGCACATAAAGCAAAACGGGGGCGTTATCGTTTTATGCTTTTATGATGTCTGAAGCGCCCCTGAACATAAGCTTTACGCAACCCGCCGCACCCTGCAGTATTATGAACGTCTTCGCTGCTTATTCTGTCCCTGCGATTGTGAAATTTCGGCCGAAATTATTACTTGAACGTTATCTCTTCAAAAGTAAATCAAATTTCCCCACAACAGTATCAGCGAATGCATGTCCCACTTTGAAGGAGAACGTTTTAACAATTGGATACTTGACAACCATGTCCACACCAGGACATAGAAAAACCCATACCCGCGAGAAAGTATTTCACCTATTAAATTGTTTGCAGAGCATAGCGTAAAAAATAATTTACAATCGCGTGACCAGTAGCATGCGAAGTGCAATACATTGCAATAGTAAAGCATTGCCGGGTTACCTAACAGAATATTAAAAAATGAAGTGAAGAATGAAAAAGAGAAGCATACAGTATAAAAAAATTGAAAATTACAAAAAATTTGAGACCACTTGGGAAATACCATAAAAAGGGTACATAAATTACCTTTTTATTCTCCGTATGGTCTGACAGTTTTTTATTGCCTGGGCTCAACTATCTTTATATTACTTACTTATAGAGAGATTACTATAAGAAGTCGTTTTGACAGCTACTGCTTGGAATTATAACTGCAAGATATATCCATGCACTAATTTTGTCAGTTCGCTATCTCTTTCAATGTTATCGCCCTACATGACGTTCATTTTATTTATTTGCGTCAAAAACAGTTAAAAACCGTGAGTGACGCTCTACGGGGAGAAGTTAGTTAGAAGTTACATTTATGTTCAGGACCTTAACAACGGGCTATCTTAGCATTTGCTCAAGGATTAGGGAAACTGAACAAAAACCCTGATCGAGATGGGTGTCATTGACCCAGAAGCTTTTGTTTCCCGATCTGTCAAAGTGGCGCCTTCTTAGAATAAATCCTCTGTATACATGGATTTAAACATAACTCCCCTGACATAAATCAGCTGTTGCGGTGCCATCCAATCTGGAGGTTGAACGTCATCAGTCCGAAATCGTAGTTATGTGTAAGCTCCTGATTGGATGACACCGTAACAGCTGACGACCTGCCTAGGGCAGTTCTCAATAAAACGAACTGTAGGTCCGGTGACGAAACCTTGCCGATCGTGTTCGCCACTTTCTGTGTAGTGAGGCGTGACAAGAAACTGTGTCAGAGAACGCCGACGCAAAAACTTAATTTTACATTAAATTGTCAACATACATTTATAATTCAGGTGTTTAATTTATTTTATTAGAGTACACTTTTGTGATCCATCAGTAGCCACTTTGCTTATTGGACGCAATGACCATTTTACCACGCAATACCCTTTGTTGTCGAATAAAGGAGAGTGTCAAAGAGCAGAAGGGACGTTGGGCGCCGAGGCCGCAGCGCCGGCCCACAATGGCCTTCCAGGCTGGAATTTCCGGTTTACAGTCCGCGTCTATTTTCGCGCAGCGGCGGCGGCGGCGGGGGCGGATGCAGCGGTGATGGGCGCTGCTGCAGCAGGCGGCGATGGGCGCTTCCTCTCCGCGCACCCCTCCCCTCTCCTCCCCTCCCCACCCCCAGAGCCCCGCCCTGACAGACTTCGTCTTCCCTCCTTCACCCAGATCTCAACACTTCTACCCCCACACTCTTCCGTCCTTTGCCCACTCTTTCATCCATCGCCTTCTGTGTTCTCATCAGACGAGAGAATTCTGAAAAAAGCGACA